AAAAGGGAGTGTAAGTGGAGAAAAGGGGAGTGGGGAAATCATATCCCAAAATTAATTGGATAATTAAATTATTTTTTCTTATAGGAATATTACTACTTACTACAGATGTTATAAATTCTGTAAGGCCTACTGGTTTGTTATCTAGTTTACCAACTTATTCTAATGTTTTGATATATTTATTATTAATTTTAGAATATGTCATTAAACTAAAAGTCTATCTATTTTATTATGTAAATTTTTCTACTTGTTCAGTTAATGTTTTTTGTACTAATTGAATTTTTTGCACTCCTATTTTTAATTTCTCAATAATTTCTAATGATTGAAGTTCTATTTGTTTTGGCTTATTTTCTATAAAATCTATAAGGTCTTTGATTTCAATATTTTTATTATTATCTTCTAATTGAGATGTTATATAGTCTAAGTTTTGTCTAATTATTTTTAAAGAATTTTTCTAAAAATATTCTAATAACTGTTGAATTATTCTATTATGTTTATTACGTTCAAATTTACACTTTCTGCTTGACAAATTAAAAGGTCAACAATACTATTTTCTAAGGGACTGTTACTACTGTGTAATAGATATTTGTGTTCTTTTTGTGGAAAATAATAAACTAAAGTATTATTATCTAAAGTTAATTTTCTCTTTTGTTGTTCATTGATTTCTAGATTAAGGTACTCTATCATATAATTTATCTAAGTATATATTTTTCTTTTATTTTAATCGGTGTCCATTAATCAGTTCATAATTATATATCATTTTGTACCATTCTAGCTTATGATTTCGTTATGTTTTTCAGTTAAACTTGTGCTTTTAATCTTTTTTGTGTTTATCATTCAGTTCATTGAGCGGTAAGAATTGTGACTTTGGATAGGAAAATGTGCAAAATGGTGCAAAAACGTGCAAACTAAGTTAGAAATTTGTTTCGACTTTAACTCCTTCCTCCAACTTTGGATTGGCCCGAGTGCCATGTGGTTGGGAAGATAACATTATGAACTTCAAGATGGATAGCTCAAAGTTATAGTTGCTCAAGGGAAGCCCAATTCGTGAGTCCATGAATTTGCTAGTCATGCTAACCTAAGGATGAGCTAATTGTTGCTTGGTCATGATGAGCTATGGTTTCTGGTGAGATTTATTGGTGAAGTGCAACAGCCAAATAAGAAAAGAAACTAATTTTCAATTATATTGGTGTGTTAGGTAAAGTTGGTGAAGTGAGTGGTGTAAGTATAAGGCATATTAAAATCATATTTCCCTTTCTTTATCCATATAAATACCATATCCATTCCACACCGAAGAAAAAAACCACATCCTGGGATTCACACTCCCACAAATCACTCCATCCATCCTCCATCTTCCCATCATTCCCCAAACACGTTCAGAAATCACCTTCAAATATGATGAGTTGATTTTATATCATATATTTAACCCCATTCTTAGTATATTTTTGGTTAATATGTTGGAAGAACTTTGATACTTGTGCTTTTAATCTCTTTTGTGTTTATCATTCAATTCATTGAGCTTTAGATAGGAATTGTGACTTTGGATAGGAAATTGTGCAAAATTGTGCAAAAATGTGCAAATTGAGTTAGAAATTTGTTTCGGTTTTAACTCCTTCCTCCAACTTTGGATTGGCCCAAATGACATGTGGTTGGAAAGATGACATTCTCAAGATGGATGACTCAAAGTTATAGTTGCTCAAGGGAAGCTCAATTCGTGAGTTCATGAAATTGCTAGTCATGCTGACCTAAGAATGAGCTAATTGTTGCTTGGTCATGATAAGCTATGGTTTCTGGTGGGATTTGTTGGTGAAGTGCAACAACCAAATAAGAAAAGAAACTAATTTTCAATTACATTGGTGTGTTAGGTAAAGTTGGTGAAGTAAGTGTTGTAGATAGAAAGCATATTAAAATCAGATTTCCCATTTCTTTCTCCCTATAAATACCACATCCATTCTACACCAAAGGAAAAAACCACATCCTGGGATTCATACTCCCACAAATCACTCCATCCATCCTCCATCTTCCTATCATTCCCCAAACACGTTCATAAATCACCCTCAAACACTCCAACAATCAACCCAACACTCTAAATAGCCCTAAATAACCAAAATTATTCCAGCAAGCCTTCCTTCCATTTTCCTACGAATTCCCACTTTCTCAGCCATCATCACTCAACCAAACTCATCCCAAATCACCTCCTTAACCTTCATTCATCCTTCTAGATATGAGGAAGCTCTTGGAGAAGTATTAGACACGGAAAAGCTCTTGGAGAAGCATTAGACACCACAAGAACTTCATAAAAGGATTTTTCTACTCTTATTACATTCATTATGTTTTCTCATTTCTGTTTAAGTTTCTTTCCCATTATGAGTAGCTAAATCCATAACTAGGGCTTTGATGTAACATAATATGAATATTCTGGGTTTATAAATTTCAAGTTTCAAGTTTGATTCATGATTCATGTTCCTATTCATTATGCTTACTTGCCTATATGCTAATCGGAATGCCTAGCTACCATTTAGATTTGTGTATCTTGGTTGGAATTTTGAGTAGACATCATATGCCTTAATTTGAATTGAACTATGAATAGGAAGAGAATGTATGGACATTCGACAACATGAATTAGATACATGTTTGGTTGTTTAAAACATTCTTCTATGCTTAATGGATTTTAATGCTTAATTTAGGTTCGACAACAATGATCTAATTAGGAAATTATTAATAAAAGGTTAGGACCAGACACCATGGATTAATCATACTATAGCTAGTATCAATCTTTGAATCTGAATTAGACTTGTCACTTGAATCCTTATAACCTAGAATTGGATTGTTATGGTGAATCGAATGCCCTAGTCTCCAAATATGTTTTCCAACCCTTAAGACCACTCTTTGTTACACTTGTTTACTTGCTTTTGTTTGCAATTTCATTTTGTTGATTTGTTTTCACAATCACAAGCACTCTCACTTCAAATTTCAATTTCATTTCGCTTCATTTGTTTCCAAACTCAATCTCAATCTCACTCTAAAATTTGTTTTAGACTTAACTTCTTGATTCTAGAATTGGGTAATCTAAGTACTTAATTTATCTAAACTTCTCAATCCTCATGGATACGACCTCATTCTTGTCTTGCTATACTACTAATTGGCCCGTACAGTTGCTAGTTAACACAACATCTACTAAGGGCTAAACATGCAAAAGGTTCATTGTTCTTAACTAGTGATTTTGGTAATTAACAAAATTTTAACAGGTTATTAAACGTTGGTTTTTATTAGTTGTGTTGATTGACTTCTGTCCTCAAGGTACTTTACTGTTATAATTATATTATTAAAGTGCTAAACTTAAGCTCTAATACCATATTTTTTCGCAGGGTCTCGATCAAGGTTTCTAAAGGCCAAAATAACAAGCAGACACCATTCCTAGAATATGGAATTGCAAAGACGCCAACTTTAAAGGCTATGGTGTAGAGCTCAAAGGTCTTCTAAACTCAAAGGTTTCCTGACAGACATCTAGTTATTGTTATGACAAATATCAAACATGACCAAATGCTCAAACAAAGTATTGATCATCAGTTTAGCAAGATAATAACATAATTATAAAGCGTTTCCTATTTTGGACAATCAGTCTACTAAGAAAATCAAAATACATGAGAAAAATACTTACTTAATTGCTTTTGTTGTTGAAACTGTTATGATCAGGTATTAACGATGGTCAGCGGTATTAATGATGGTTGGAGTAAGAGTATAATAAGAGAAAGTATATGAACAAAAGGAGTTTATTGATTGAAAACTGAAGGAGAAAGTACTGAGATTTTTTCTTCTCTGGTATTGTACTTCTCTCTTTGGAGTTAGAAAACTATATACATCTATTCACCGACTCTGCTAAGAATGGATAAGGATGAGAAAAGGAGTCTTTCTGCTAAGGATGACTAAGGATGAGAAGAGTAGTCTTTCTATCTGATACCATCTTTCTATCTATTTGAACTTTCATACACACTTCACATGCCAACTGATGGTAAACAAATGATTCTCATGCATTTTAAGACAAAATGCACTCAAAAATATGTACAAAGAAACAAAAACATTATTTCTAGCACTGTTGTACAGAGACAAAGTGATAAAGTTTTCACATGGTATGGTCGCTTAAAGACAAAATCTTCACATGTAGGTTTGGTCTCTTCACATGCTGATGGTGGTTTTCGATGGAGGAAAGAGTTATAGGACTTGCATGTTTTTGATGCTAAAGATAATGGGCTTTTTCATCATTTTGAAAAGATTTTGGGTGTTTTTGAGAGCGGGCTGCTTCTTTTAGGCTTTCACTAAATTCATATTAGATTTATGTTGATTGTTATAAAGTCTATAAGAAACTAGCTATATTCAGTCCACACTTCTAAGAGAATTTACAATCGTTGTTCATACTTAAAGGAGTATTTTTGCATCTAAAATAGTTCAATCAATTGAACTATTTTGGCATCTATTGAATGCATTTTTTGTTGTTGAGAAAATACGATAGTAATTATTGATGAAACATATCATAGTACAAAGCCACAAAAGAGCCAAAATGGGTACAATATCTCTAGTGACCAAACCCAACAACGTGTTCATTTGATATGGAGAATTACGCCTAAATCAGCAAATACTCAACACCCTAATTCAGCATTTCGAAGGACTTATACTCAGACTAACAATACATCTCCACCGTGCAACGGCAGAAACTGCATATCTGTATTGTAGCCGAAACCTAGAATACAAAACACAGCAAACTCCTAATGAGTAATAGACTTAAAACAAGAAACAAGAACACCGCTCCACATCCTCTCCGACAACCGAAGAAATCCATAATGCCATACTGGTTAAACCCTTAGTGTCACACTGGCTAAACCTCAACCCATACAAATCGGTAACTTTCATTATTATAACTCCAAATACTGAATTGGAGCCAAAACCTTGTATATGTGGGCCAAAAGTGGCAACTAAATCATGGCAACAATGGTGTTTCGTGGTGTCTACTTCCACATCACATACGAACCAGCATAGCAACCGTTACTATCTCTACCGACGTTGACGTCGCCGTCTCCGCCGGGATAGATAGCACCACCGGTAACTTTTATTATAGCCAAGCAAAAAACACCCAAACCAAAAAAAACTGCAACCAAACTTGTAACAAAAAAAAACAAAAAACAAAAAACAAAACCAAGATCCATGAGAAAGGAAAGGGAAGGAAAGAGGAGAAAAAAAAAGGGGATACACAAAGAGAGAGAAAGGTTGAGACGGAAGAGAGAGGAGGAAGATAGGGGCCATTCAACTTGTAGCTTGGAAAGGCTCAAACTGTTGCAATAAAAGAATGTGTCAATAGCATCCTTTAGTGAACTTGAAATAGTGTCGGTAAAATGTTGGATACCCTCAAATCTTTCAATTACATGCCCTTTGTCATCCACATAACGCAACACCATAGCCATTTGCTCTTTCACTGACACATCACGTGCTTCATCCACCAATATTGAAAAGAATCTATCTTTTAGACCATCCATGATAGCATCAAGTGTTTCAAGGGCACATGAATTCACAATTTCTTTTTGAATGCAAGGAGGTAGTAATTTGAGATTCCTCGGAGCATTTTCCATCACAACTTCTCTAACTTTATCATCATTATCTGCAAGGAATTGCAATAGCTCCAAGTAATTTCCCCTATTGCTTGAAGTGACACTTTCATCATGGCCACGAAAAGCAAGACCTTGTCGCAATAAAAACTTAGTGCACTTGATTGATGCATTCAAGCATGTGTAATAAGCCTTACGAGCTTGGTCGGAGTGTTTCCTCACTGCCGTTTCAATATGTGTATTTTGATTCATCAAATTTGTAGCAGCTTCTCTAACTTTATTATGAACACTCCCAACCGGTCCAACATGCATCTTAAATCTTTCTCTCCCTTTCTTCCAATTCTTAAATCCATCTCCAGTGAAAGCTTCACTACCCACTTGTTTAAAATTGGTTTTAAAGAGATAGCAATAGAGACAAAATGCCGCACCTTTAGATATACTATACTCCAACCAATCAAACTCATCAAACCATTGGGGAATGAGGCGTCCATTAATTCATGACATATTAGTTTGTGGGAAATTATGACCTCTAGGTTGACAAGGTCCTTTTTGTAGATATGATCTTCGGACCTCATCTCTTATATTAGCATCATAATCTATCATTCGAGTTCTTAATACAGGGTCCGCTTGAAGATTACCCAAAACACCATCTAACTGATTTTGTCTTGAACTTGGAGTTCTTGAACTACCAACATTATTTGAACTATCAACATTATCCAAACTACCCGAACCCGAGGATGACTTTCTCTTAAAAAACCGTTCCATAATAACTCTACATATACAAAATAATGAAAATAAAAACTCACAATATAAACAAACCATCAATATAATCAAAATAAATATGAACTGGATTTCAATTAAATTAAATATATTTTACATATACAAAATAATAAAAATAAAAACTCACAATATAATCAAAATAAATATAAATTGGGTTTCAATTAAATTAAATATATCATACATAGTAACATAGGGTTTAGAACTTACTTGAATTGTGAAATTTCACAGCAACAATGAGCAAAAACAAAGAGATTAGCTGGCGACACCACCACACGGCGACGACGACGACAGCACAAAGGAAGGAGATGGAGTTGAGGGTTTGGGGGAGGGGGGATTGAGTTGGGAACTTAGGGTTGGAGGAGAAAACAAAAAAAATTGGGGGTTTTAGAATGAAGGAATCGGGTCTGTGGAGAAGCAGTGGCTGGAGGATGCGTTTTTTTTTTTTTTTTTTTTTTTTTTTTTTTTTTTTCTTCTTGGCCTGGCCAAACGACATCGTTTTGGCCAGGTCATTAAAAAAAAAATTCCCTGGGCCAAAACGATGTCGTTTTGCCCAATTTGTTTTATAAAAAAAACTCGCTCGTGCCAACCTTCTATTTCAGCCTGCAAACCCTTCCTTCTTTCCGACATTTCGTCGACCACTTGGTGTGCAGATCCAAGAGGTCGCACCAGCAGCTTCAAGGGACCTCTAAGCTTATTTCCATGGCTTCCAAGAGGTCGTGTGACCCCACTGACCCAACTGTGGATCCACCACTAACTACAGTAACTTCCAGTGGTAATAGGTGTAAATTTAGCATACATCCACCTTTACACACTACCATTATGGATGCTCTTAGCTTATTACAATTGCAAAAGTGGTTTGGTGCGGCTAGGGTTAACTCATTATCACATAATATTTTTTTATTTTTTTATTGCTCTAGAGTTGTAAGCCCTTATTGGTGTAGTGGTTTGGTACAGAAGTCTGAGGTTGCAAGTCAGGGTTTTGACTCCTTATGGCTTCAATCTTTGAATTTTAGTGCCATTTAACCATTTATTGTGGCCCGTTTGGTTCGGTGAATCGACCATTTTCATATTCCAAAATCGTGAACTAGACCAGACAAAATTAGTTTAGTCCGATTCTTGAGTAGTTGTTTGCTTTTCTGGTCAAACGGTTTTTTTTTCTTTTTTCAGTTCGGTTATGTTTAGTTCTCTTGTTTACAGTTCGTATGCCCACCCGTAATATTGGGGTGGGGGAACTTGGTTTTCTCATACACATACACACTACCAAGATGTCATGGGGGTTCAAACCTAAGACCTGAGACTTCACACACACTACCAAGATGAGGATTCGAACATGAGACCACTCATCTGCAAGCGAATGCTCGTTCGTAGTTTGAGTAGTTATTATTCCCTTTTTAAGTTTTTTTTTTTGGGCAGAACCTAAGAGCTTGTTTGGTACGTCGGACTGTACTAACTAATTTCTGTCAGATAGTATTAATCTGTTCCAAAGAGTAGTGATTGTTTATCTATTTGAACAAAAAATCTGCACAGGGAATCACAGATTTATTCCTCAATCTTTGATCTTCCTTCTCTCTCTTCTTCGATCCCTACAAAATAAATTAGAGTAAATAGACCACACCTGGGCGGTGTTAGCCAAATGCACTCTGATGCCTAAGTTAGTTCGATATGATATTGATAAAGATATGACAATAGCTAAAGTAGATGGGGTTTTCTCTCACGAGGAAAGCCGAGTGGCCTTAGCCATGTGTGGTGGCACTTAGCTGTGTAAGGAGAGAGAGATAGGAGGGGTGGAGAGAGAAAGATAGAAAAGAGTGATTTCTTTAAGGTTTTTAGAATTAGAGATAAATTTAGAATTATCTTGAATGCCTTACGTAGCCATGTATTTATAGGCTCCTTGTATGCTAGGGTTTGAAGAATAATCCTTATTTAATTAGGATTATTCTTACCTAAAAATAGGAGATTGGAATTAATCAAGGAGATTCAGTGGAAATCTCATCCTTGATTTGGGGAGATATTCTAATCTTAAATAAATTATAATTTTCCTAATTAAATAAGATTTCATTAGGGTAACTATTTGACCTAGGAAAACTCCCTTTTCCACGTGTCATCTGCTCATTGGTTGTTGAAATATATGCTCTCACAAATGCCTCCCAGCTTCTACATGGCGCGTATGTGGCAAGGAGGAGATGTGAAATACTCTTCAGGCTTTCCAATTGTGTTTAGGCTTCCAATTATGAGTTGGACTCCCGGGAATAGGCTTGTGACTCCTTGTTGGTCAAGGATACCCAACTACTGTAAATGCAAGGCTTCTCTTCACTCCTCTTCATATCGCAAACTTGCTTTCCTCTACTTTCTAGCTTGTGAGAGAGATCTTAGAGAATTGTACTACTTATTGAGGAGAGGAATTGCCGTGCACACCAAGATAAGTCACACTTGGGTTTTTATTTTTCTTCAATTTTTTCTTCGCGGTGAGGACCAGTTGGCCGGTTGCTGTCGACTGTGGCCGTCACTTGCCTATGGCTACCTTTTTTTTTCTCTGTTGGGCTGCTGAGATTATGGACTATTCCTGCAATCTTGGGCCTGTTCAGATTGTGACATGCTACCTTGTGCGACTTGGGCCACGGCTTGCCATGTGGTTTAGGCCACGCCTTGGGCTATGCTGGCTGGCTAGTGCAATGTCTTGCTATGATATGTCTAGAATTGCTAATCTGCTTTACTCACATATATTTTTTTTTTGGTTATATGTGAGTTCTTGTAACCAACTAACTTTTGTCTTTTACTTGTGGTTGACGAGATCAGTAAAAGGTTTGATCTCAAACCGTACATGGCCAAAGTTTGTCAGGCCATGAAAATAGGAAGGTGGCCTGCCTCCATCTAGCGATGTTGAGAGATGGAAACATCATGGTCGACTTGGATGGTTAACTTGATCTTCCACTTGAGGTGAGCAGGATACCATCACAGATACAGATACGGCCGAGAAACGGGTAGTTTGTGAGACGATGGCTAATGAGTCTGCAGTTAAGGAGGATGAAGCAACGGAGGGCGCAACTAACGAGGCTAAGGATGATGCTGTGGAGAAGGTAGCCAAAGCCAACAAGTAGGTGGCTGCACCTGATAAGCAGGCTGCATCCTATGAACAGGTACCCGAGACTGATGAGCAGATGGCTACAGCTGATGAGTGGGTGGTTGCAGCTGATGAAGTTTCAATGTAGATGAAGACTTTTCTTCTTTGTAGCTTTGTGGCTTTGTGTATTGGTCATGATTGAACACTTCATTTGATCTGCTGAATTTTGGCATGTCGACTTCTCACTAATATACCTGAACTTCTGGATTTATTGATTCCTGTTCTTTTTAGGTATGCTGACCTCTTTTGGTAGCATGCTGGCGTTCTTGGTTGGGCAACTACGTGAGTTGTCTCTTGAGTGGACCTGTTGGCCTTTTGGTTGGGCATCTCCCTTAGAATGCTTTGGATATTGTATTTCTTCTCTCTTAGGATGCTTTGGATGTTGGCATAAGTTTCCCTTAGGACTTTTTGGTAGTTGGCATAAGTTTCCCTTAGGACTTATTGGTAGTTGGCCTACATCTCCCTTAGGACATTTTTGCAGTTGGCCTACGTCTCATTTAGGACGTTTTAGCAGTTGGCCACGTCTCCCTTAGGACGTTTTGGGAGACGTTTAGGATAGTTTGGCAGTTGACCTACGTCTCCCTGAGGACATTTTGGCAGTTAGCCTACATCTCCCTTAGGAAATTTTGGCAGTTTCCCTACTTCTACCTTATGACATTTTGGCAGTTTCCTATGTCTCCCTTAGGATGTTTTGGCAGGTAACCTACGTCTCCCTTTGGAAGTTTTGGATGTGGCCTACGTCCCCCTTAAGATGTTTTGGTAGGTAGCCTACGTCTCCCTTAGGACGTTTTAGCTGTAGCTTACGTCTCCCCTAAGACGTTTTGGCTGTAGCCTATGTCTCCCTTAGGACATCTTAGCAAGTAGCCTACGTTTCTCTTAGGACGTTTTGACAGTTGCTTACGTTTCCCTTAGGACGTTTTGGCAGGTTGCCTACGTCTTAGGACGTTTTTGCAGTTTGCATACGTCACCCTTAGGCGTTTTGTCATGCATCTTCTTTATGATGCTTTGGATTTTCTCTCAAACACTTCTTTGAAAAACTCAAACTTTCTTTAAACTGAAGTGAAGTGGACTCTATCATCTGTTTGCCGATGTATTGCAATTCGATGTCAGTGACCAGCGATTGTGGGCAGCCGAACCGATAGACGATATTTCTCTAGATAAATCATTCCATGTTAGTTTCTTTAGTAGAGGATAGAGTTTTGGTCTCAATCCATTTAGTAAAGTAGTCGGTGGCGACGATCATCATGTCCTTCTTGGCAATTGTTTATGCATGGGACCCACTAAGTCGATGGCCAATTCATAAATGGCAATGGGTTGTTCTGCAAATGATACACTTTGTCATGTAGACTTAGGACTGGCTTATAGCATTGTTACCGATCACATCTTTTGACATACTCCATAGAGTCGTGGCGCGTGGTAGGCCAGAAGTAGCCTATGTTGAGAGCTTTCTAAGCGAGTGACCTGCCCCTAGCATGATTTGCACATTTGTTATCCTGGATTTTACAAAGCATTTCGAGAATTTGCAGGTACTTGATGCAGGTGAGATGAGGACTAGAATATGAAATTCAAACAAGCTTGTTGTCCTTCATGTAGTATCTTGCAACTTTCTACTTGATTTTTTTTTGCCTCACACTTCTCCCTGGGCAAATTTTTTTTTACAGAGTAGTTGATGATAAGGTATTACTAGCTAGGATCCTCATCGATATGCATCAGGTCCGGCTGCTTTTCTTTTTTAATGCGTGGTTGATCAATGTGCACAACTAGAATTGAATGTCTGAATTAGGTGTCCAGCCCTGATCCTAGGCTTGCCAGTGCATCTGCATGTGTATTTTCTGCCTGGGGAACTTGTTGGATGGTGAAGGTAGAAAATACCTTCAAAAGCTCTTGGACTTTGTCTAGGTACTGAATCATGATTGGGTGTTTCGCCATGTACTCCTCTGACACTTGATTTGTTATAAGTTGGGAATTTGAGTAGATGGCTAGCCTCTCGATTGACAACTCCTTTTCCTCCCGCAAGCCAGCTAGCAGCGCCTCGCACTCTACTTCGTTGTTTGAGGTTGGAAAACCCATGTGATGACTTGCTCCAATAAGGTTCCGTTTGGGTGATTATAATGATGCCTACTCCAGCTCCTTTGTGATTTGACTCTTCGTCTATGAGCAACTGCCACACGTCTTTGGACATGTCAAGATCGGCAGAAGAGGTCCCATCTGCTCTTGAACTTTCCTTGAATCTGTTGACCAGCTTATCTTCTTCAGCCGATGACGTGAACTTTGCAACAAAATTTGCTAAAGCCTGGGTTTTATGGCAGCCTTCGGCTGGTAGAGGAGGTCATACTGACTCAATTCGATAGCCTACTTCATGAGTCACTAAGAAGCATTGGGACTATGAAAAATCGATCTCAAAGAAAATTTTGTCATGACGATGATTCGGTGAGCTTGGTAGTAGAGTCTTAACTTTTTCGTGGAATCTACAAGGGACAAAATGAGCCTTTCCACTTCCGGATAGTGGGTCTCTGCATCGAGGAGGGCTTTCGACGTGTAGAAACTGGATGTTGTACCCCCAACTATTCTTGGATGAGAACTGAGCTCACAGCTGAGTTGGACACCGCTAGCTAGATGAAAAATCTTTGCCTGAAACAAGTTTTGAGAGCAGGGGAGATGAAGTGAGGTAGGTCTTCAAGTTTTGAAAAGCTACTTCGCACTCTTCATCCCACTTGTCTTTTTAACTTTTCTTCAAGGCTTTGAAGAATGACCTGCATTTGTTGGTGGATCTTGAAAGGAATAGGTTGAGAGCTGCTGCTTTGCCCTTTAGACTTTGTGTCTTTTTTATTGTGGCAAGCGACTTCATATTTAGAGTAGCCTTAATTTGATTTGGATATGCTTTGATTTCTCTTTGGGTGACTATGTATCCCAAAAATAGGCCAGATGAGGCTCCAAATGTGCAATTGCTCGAATTCAACTTCTTGCGGTATTTATGGAGCAGGCTGAAGGTTTCGACAAGATTCTTAATGTGATATGCTCGTTTGGTGAACTTTAACTAGCATGTCAACTACGTAGACCTTCATAGTCTTACTGATATGCTCTTTGAAAATTTTGTTCACAAGCCTTTGGTATTTTGCTCTGGCGTTCTTCAGCTCAAATGACATGACTTGTAGCAATATGTACCTCTTTCAATTATGAAAGAAGTCTTTGTTTTATCATCCCCATGCATCATGATTTGATTGTAGTCGGTGTATGCATCCATGAAGCTTAGTAATTGGTTACTGGAAATTGAATCTACAAGGTGTTCAATTCTTGACAGTGGAAAGTTGTCCTTCCGACATGCCTTGTTAAGGTCAGTGTAGTCCACACACACTCTCCAATTACCTTGGTCTTTCTTAGCCACCAGGACAACATTAGCCAGCCACTCAGTGTAGGAAACTTCTTTAATGAAGCTGGCAGTTAGGAGCTTGTCAATCTCGACTACAATGACAACTTGATAAAGATACGACAATAACTAAAGTGGATGGATTTTTCTCTCACAAGGAGAGTCGGGTGGCACTTAACTGTGTGAGGAGAGAGAAATGAGATGGGCGACGAGAGAGAGAAAGAAAGTGATTTCTCTAGGGTTTTTGGAATTAGGATTTGAAGAATAATCCTTATTTAATTAGGATTATTCTTACCCAAAAATAGGAGATTGAAATTAATCAAGGAGATTTGGTGAAAATCTCATCCTTGATTTAGAGAGATATTCCCATATTAAATAAATTATAGTTTCCCTAATTAAATAGGATTTAATTAAGGTAACTAATTGACCTAGAGAATTTCCATTTTCCACATGTCATCCGCTCATTGGTTGCCGAAATATATGCTCCTACATTATTATCTATAATATTATAAAGCGTTTGATAATATTCTGGGTAAATAGTATGACTAAATTATACTATATTTGGTGCACTCCGAATAACGTCGTATCATACTATTTTTTAAGTTTTTGATTGGTATGATATTACTTTATGGTTCAAATATTAAGCAAGGCACATTTAAAACATTAAAATAAATAAAAATTAAAATATATTAAAAAAAAATAAAAACAGAGGACCATAGATGCGCAGACCTGAAGAACTTGGTAGGACGAACATAAAAATTTAAAAACAACCACCCAACCTCGATGATCTTCCCCTAGCAGCTACAGCACCCACCCAGCCTCCCACCCGACACCACCGCCGTTACCTCTGTTCTGTACGGTACCCCACCATCTCCGTCAGCTAGCCCTCTCATGTTATGAGTTGGTTCTTTCTGTCTTTTCTTCTTCCATAAAAATAAGGCACATCATTGATTCCTTGGTTCTTTTTTTCATTGCCCACCGTTTGGCCTTTCTGATCTCTTCTTTCTTTCTGGGCATTCATCTCTAAACCTCAAATCTCCCAGCTCTTGTCGATTATCTTCTTCTTCTTCTTCTCTTCGGAACCCATCTACCCAAGGAGGAAAACTAGAAGACAAGGAAAATGAAAAACCCCCCTCAGCCTCAGAATTTGTATCCGCTGTGAATTATCCAGCCTCGATCGAAATTTCAACTTTTCCGAGAGAGAGGTAAGTCAGCTCCGGAGCTCCTCCTAACTTTGTTTCTTCAGCTTTTCTTTTTCTCTTGTTCTTCTTTATTAATTAATTAATTAATTAATTAATTATATGATTTGATTTTGTTCGTATAATGATTCATTCCCGATCTATCTATCTATAGGATTGATGCTAAATGCTAATTGTATGTATGATTGATCATCGATCTGCCATCTTGGAGATTTAGATTTAATTTGCTTGCTTACTTTGACCTTTGGCCGTCTCTCATTTAATTTATGCATGCCTCTGCACTGCAATTCCTCTGTATCTATCTATCCTGTTTGGTTTTAATTAATTAAAATTGGATGCTGCTGCTTTTGCTGTTATTTGTTTACTTTAGACTCCTCCAAGGGAAGGGAAAAAAGAGAGAGAGAGAGATTGAAATGGCAGCCCTACTGTACCAGATATTGTCGTCCTCAGCACTGGTGTCACTGGGACTCTACCACATGGTGGGCACCACCCGCAACCACCTCAAGTCACCACAGTCGTACGCCGCCAAGCCCTACCACCCCTTCCCTCTCTCCTCCTCTTCGTCTTCGTCTTCCAATCATCATCGCCTCAGGTACTTGCAGCTCTACGCCGTCATTGCCTTCCTCATGGTTGCCGTCGCCCACCAGACCTTCACCTCTTTCGACGCCGATCCACTCCTCAAGGGCCGTACCCCCGTCCACCGGTTCACCTCTCTGCAGTCCGCAGCCTCCCTCTTCCTGTTTCTGCTGCTTACACTAGCTCTGCTGCTCTCGGAGTGGGCTCCATCTGTGCTGCCACTGCCCTCCGATCTCGTCTTTGGCCTGGCTGCTGCCCTCTTCTACCTACAGTGCCTGGTCTCGTGGGGTGCCGCTTCGGTGCAGATGTCGGATCTGCAGGCCAAGTGTGACTCAGTGTCGGGTCGGATCTCGGCAGTGGCGTCAGGGCTGTGCGTGGTGTTGGCATGCCAGCCGAGGTTGTTTGTGGCGGATGTGGGATTGGGGGCGGCCATGTGCCTGCAGGGGCTGTGGGTGTTGCAGACGGGGCTGTCGCTGTATGTGGAGGCGTTCATCCCGGAGGGCTGCCACAGGCTGCTGGATGTGGTGAGCGGGGTCGAGGGTTCCACCAAATGCGACCTCGACGAGTCCCGCTTCAGGGCCGTGGCCATTCTGGATTTGGTGTTCTTGGTCCATGTCATGTTCGTCTTGCTCATTGTCATGGTCACCTATGCCGTCGTTTCCAAGTCCGTTGGCATCCGCAGATTGGGTTCTTACGAGGCCTTGCCCAACGCTGCTCCCTCCTCCGACCACAACAACCTCATTCAGATGAAAGCCTTGAGCGGCACCCAGGCTTAGTTGACAACCACACCCCCACAATCGACATTGAGGAGGAGAATCAGAGGTACCTTTCCCTTTGCTAGATTGATGGTTTCTTTCTTTCTCTTAAATCACTCTACTATGATGATATCCCAGGGATTTTGATTTCGTTTGTATACCATTAACATTAGCTTCATTATAATTACAGTTACAAACTGCTATGCCCTGCTCAGTGCATTTTTTTTTGGGGCTGTGGTACATACATTGGCAATTTTTTTTCTATGGATTGCCTATGATAGGATTCCTTGTATGTATGGTGAAGTCTAGTAGTTAATACATAATGGACAGAAAGAAGACATTAGGTTGCAAAGAGAAAAGGAATTTAAACACAAAATTCCATTTTTGTTTAGTGTGGCAAGAAGATTGTCTGGTGTAGCAGAGGGATATGTTAAGGTAGTTTTGTGAACAATGCCACCCTATAATACAATAATTTTAGGTTATAGAGCTTACCATGTTCTCTTAGAAGTTGATTCTAATAATCTCTTCCTTTTTTTAATATCCCATCAAAGTCTTGTCCGTAGAATTGTATAAAATCTGCAAAGTTTGTGTGATGCAGTGTTGGTGGGTGCTGGCGGTTTTTGTGCTGGAGGTCGTAGTCATCCTCATCGTCCTTAACATATAATGTGCAAGTATACATATACACAGTCACGATGTGCCTCTGCATGAGAAAGTTTGTGTGATGCATTCTTGGTTTATTGAATTCCTCCAGCTTTTAGTTGAGATTTACATGTATTAGAGTGGAATACCTCTTTGTTTGCTTGTCTTTTTTCTAATGCTGATTTTGAGTTTTTTGGTTAGCAATATATCCTCTGTATTATGGTTCTTGGGTTTCGCTTTTGTAATTTATTCACTTTTTATGGTGGGTTTTCCCTCTGTTTGGTTTATGCTTTCCTGTTTGTGTATATTAAAATGATGGATGTCTTTCCCGGCTATTCCATTAGGTCAAGGAAATAGGTTAGTTAGGTCAGTTTTGCTTCAATTGAGATTCTCAAGTGTGAAGTCTTTGAATTGGATTTGGTTTTTTTTTGTTCTGTTTTTTGTTTTTTTCTGTTTTGGTTTCCAAATTGGTATTTCAGATTCTTTTGATATTGCAAAATTCCTTCGGTATCACATTCTGCCCCTTTCTTTAAATTATTTTGTATTTATTAGAAAGCCTTTTTTAGCTTAGATTAATCATATTGCTTGCATGGTTTCTTTATGTGATTTTGTTAAGAAATTGACAGCAACAGCCAATAACTCTTGTGCTAGTTATGAGTTTTTCGTATCTCACGCCTTGTGTCTTGACCTGACCTTGACTAAACCAAGTGGGATTTATTATTATTATTTTTTATGTATGATTCTACGATGCACAAATCGTGATATACATGATTCCATTAGTTTTATAAATCATACTTTACATGCTTTTTTTTGTATTTGGCAATGCTGGACATGCTAATTTCAATAATGATTTACATGGCTTCTTTTTCCATTTGGGTTTTTGGTGGGATGCCAAAGTGTGATGGATCCTGTTTTAGTATCTAGTATTTTGGTTTTGTAGAAATGAAAATGAGGTAGTATCTATTAACTGCTATAGAAAACATTCTTGTAAAACTGGATTGGGTTCTGAACTTGCATGCTCCTTAACCTTAATTTTATTCTTTATATGTTGGGACCGCACTGAAAAAAGACTACTTCCTTCCTTTGTGCAGAGACTCCTGGTGCAGCTAGAGCATGGGTATCAACACTACAGTAAGTTCTTTCCCATTACATTATGCTGTAGTGATTATGCAGATGTTATTATATATGGTACAAATTTCATCTTTCTGTGCACCTTATAAATACTTTATAACCTCTAGGATATACCTTTTTAGTAGAGATATATGCTGCTGGTGCAAATGAGAAATTAGTTAACATATGTAATGGAGATTATTGATGTGGTGTTGAGGAAGAAACAAGGGTTTTAGAATTTGAACTTTCCTATTCTTACTTTGTAATTGAACTATCCCAATGTAGTTTGAATTCTCTTTTACCCCCCCCCCCCCCCCCCCCCCCTCCCTTTTTTTTCCTTTATTATTTCATTATGTGAGCTTGTGGCAAGCCATTCCATTAAGACTAGATTAGCAGATTCCAGTAATTGTATGTTTTATCTGATCTTGTCATCTTTTGCTCTTTTTTCATTTTGTCTGTCCTCTGACAATCATAGCAACACAGTTGGTTTTGAAGGTCATAAAGAAGCTGTGAATTCCTTGAGTGGCAAGGCAATGTTTCTGCGAAACTCGGAATGCTTACAGCAATAGTTGCTGCTGCAAATTCGACTGCTTTGGAGATGTTTTGTGTAGTTTAGATTAGTTTGTTAATGGACGGTCTCTGGTTTCAATTGTACTCTATCAGTTCTAAGCTAACTCTGTCAAAATAACATTTCAATAACTTTTTACGGGTATTCGACTCAAATATAGTAGATGTTGTGGCAATTGTTGTGACAACCTTATACATGTCATTGTGGTGATTGTAATTCACTTGGGGTAGGGTGTAGTGTTGTTATTCCCACAATATGTTTTGATGTCCTATTACATATATTCACGTTTTATCTGCTCGTTATACACGGGGTTTTACTTGTATATCAACTTCCTATTAACCATATATAGCGGCTTATAGCCTATACCTAAACCCAATAAATAAGATGGACGGAATTTGCTAGTGAGGTATAGCTCAATTGCTTGATTTCTTTCACCTCTACTCCCAATGAATATTTTTATAAACTCCATCCTACAATAGCTTGTACCAAAAAAAGAATTGTATAATTTAACATCATTTATAATTTTTGACAATATATCATCACCACAACCTTGTACACCTGTAGGGATGATGATGATATATTGTCAAAAATTGTATTACCTGACCTGACCCCATCCCCCTCTCCATCAGGGTCTCAAACTCACCCCGAATTCCCTATTTTTTTTTTATATAAAAAAATTTATCTTGCAAGGTGCAACACACTACAACAAAAGAAGATATATGGCCTCGTAATTTGGAGAAGATTATACACAGAGTAACTGTAAGGTAAATTTTTTCACTGCGAATCCTACAAAACAGAATGTAAAATGAGAGTGGAAACCCAAAGAACTTAACAAATCCACCAATAATATTAACATTAGCATCATACTATCCATCTGGCCAGGGGAAAATTTTATTTTGAAAGGAGAAAAGCAAGGCTTCGATGATTATAGATTGACAAAAGCTCCGTGCTCCTCCATGATTTTTTCCACCATCTGCTGCAGGAGGAATAGGTGGACCCATTGCAGCAACCTAAGAGGGATTCATAGGGGCTGGTGTGTAGTAATTGTGTAGTTAGGAGCTGTTGAGTAGAGGTGTCAAACGGGACGGGCCGGCCCAGCACGACACGAGCCCAGCCCGTTTAAATGAGGCACGGCACGGCACGAGCATGAATAGTAATGGGCCGTGCTTGGCACGATACGAAATCTTGGGCCGAGTCGGGATAAAAAATGAGGTCCAATGAATCAGGCCAGCCCACGGCCCGACATGGGCCGGGCTTGGCCCGAGCCCGCTTCAACCGAGGCACGAGCCCAAGCACGGCCCACTTAACTTTATTTTTCTTTCTCAAATGCCAAAATGCAAAAATTTGACATCTAATACCATTGTTTATACGGTTTTTTTATTTTTTATAATTATAAACATATATTTGATGTCTTTCATTTTAGGGAAATTTCTTGGATCCTTAATTAATTAAACATATCAACTACAAATTAATTTAACAACATTAGACTTGATATCTAATCAGTACATATGACATATACGCTTCTCTTATAATCAAAGCAAGACATTTCTTCACATATAAAATAATTAGTTGTTTAAAGATGAAAAGTTGAAGTGGACTTTGTGAAGTTGTACACTTTTTGACCTCTGCCTTTTATATTGTTTGGATGTTTGATTGATTAATGTTTTCAAATAATTCATCATTTCTTGCCTCTAATTATATTTTTAATGTTTATAATTTGAATTATCAAGTGAAAAAAATAAATCAAGTGAAAAAACTTCAAATTAAATGGGTTGGTTCTTGGGCCCGAGTATGGCACGAGCACGAGCACGGGCCCGGCCCAGCCCGTTTCATTGTGGACATGAGCTTTGGGCCGGGCTGGCACGGCACGGCACAAAAACGTTAAAAGCACGAGTTTAAATGGGGCAGGCCGGCCCGACACGGCCCGTTTGACACCTCTACTGTTGAGGCTTGAAAAATCCAAGGTTGGGCCCAAATATGTTTCTAGCCCAGTACAAATGCTTAATCGAGAAGGAAGACCGACTGGGGTATGCAGGAATTTGTCGTATGCACTTACACAAGTTATGATATGCAAATTCATAGGGCTTGCTGAACAGGTTGTGGTATGGATGATTATGAGTGTTCATGAGGCCCATTGATGGTCTAATAAATGGAAGTTTTGGGCTACTTGGGAGCACCAAACTCAGGCCCATTTCTTGAGCCCAAATATATGAGTAATCATAAGAGAGAAAAAATAGCTCAGCACCTTAGAGAAATAGCCTAACACCTTAGAAAATATCCCGGCACCCTATTAAAACCAAGCCATTATTGAAACCAAGTGAAACCCATATGCACGGGCTACTGGGAGTAAGACACCTTTTAGACCAGCACCCTTATCCATTCTTTCCTCTACAAGCTTTGGTAGGAAAACCAAGAGGAAAAACAAGAGGAGCCACACCTAGGATGGAAGAAGTCAGCTGCAAGAAAACCTTGGAGCCCCAAAATGCTCTGCCCCAATGTGCTTGGATTAAGGAATTTTCACCAAAAAAGGATTGAATCGAAGGAAGTGACGGGAAATGGAGGAGAAGACTTGGCAAAATTTGGGGAAAGTCAGCTAGGGTTCCTGAACCAGAAGGGGCTTCTAGCGCCTATAAAAAGAGGCACCTCCTACCTAGCAAAACAACCATCCAGAGCACGACCAAGTAATTGTCAAGCTGTTGGAAAA